GTATAAATCAGTATCAACAATAAATTTCAGAACCACTGTTTTAGTCAATAGGCCTTCATTTTTTGTATCACTAAAAATAACAACCAAAAAAACTATGTCCAGGTATTAAGCACCAGAGGAATTAGTACCATATATACCGAATTGCACCAGAAGTAAAACAAATATATATGTTCAAACAACCAACTCTAGCACAGCTGGAAAACGTCATACAAAGACTTATTAAAATGGAAGGTGTATCTAATCTTGTACACAAAGAATCTGAAAAAAACCAAAGCACAAGCTTAAAAAAGACTATTATTAAGCTGGCACTCAAGAAATACCCTGATAAACATTAAAATTAGCGAGTTCATGGTCAAGAGAAAATCTGGGAAACGTGTTCAGCATGAAAACTTTAGAAAGAGACTCAGTAAAGATTTTAGTTTTTCTTTAGGCTCCAGTGTCATTATTTTTCTAATTTGAGTTCTAACAGTTTATTCATTTTATGTACTGCAGGTTATATTGCTAGAGTGGGAAAAATTAATCCAGTGCATTTATACAGTAAACACAGGAAATCATACATTCAATTCTCTTGCAATTCAAAATAAGTAGAAATCTATATAGTATGTAGCTTAGGTCAACTGTATTTCTTCCATATTATCTGCACATGATAACCATATTCCACCAAATACAATCATATCAAAAGTAGTTTCAAATGATCCTTTCAGAGACAACAAAAAAGATACTACACAAACAAACAAAAAATCCATCAGCATTCTAATTTATTCACTTTAATGAGCAGTTCAACAACCTGTCACGGGTCTCAAAGAAGGACTAGAAGATAAAAGAACACTTGATGTAGGTAAAATAAGGGAGACTAAAAAACAGCTTGGAAATCACTACCATATTCTCATCTTGATCTTCAACCTCTCCCTATGAGATAGATGAATATTTCTGACAGCCTTCTGGACATTTCCATCTATATATTCCACAAGTATTTTAGATCTAATTTGTCAAGAAACAACCTTAATAGTTTGTTATCAAGATTACTCCATATTAATGCCAACCAACAACCCCTATTTTATTTGCTGGTGTCAAAATGTCCCCAATCTCCCCAACTAGCAAATTTAGCCATCCTCACAACTTTTTCGTATCTCACATGTCTATATTAATCACAAAATCAACAGATTTTTGCCTCAGAAATATAGCTCAATTAATTCCTTTTTGTGTAGCTTGTTTGAACAATCCTTATTATCTGTAATTGCCAAAAAGGGGCTAAAATCCCTGAGCTCAATATCTCAGTTAATTTATCCAACTGATACAAGAATGCTATTTCTTAAAACCACCTATTATTATTTCTTAGCTACCTTAGAATGTCTTTGGTTACATTACCTATAGCATTGCTTCCTAAATGTTGATTCTGGATTACCAATATCAAGTGGAAAGAAATTAGAAAAGCAAACTGTTGTGCTCTAAGGCATATCTGATTCAGAAACTCAGGGGATGGTGCCGAGCAACCTTTTTTAACAAATTCCCTAAGTGATACATTTTAAGAACTACTGAACAATGATTTAATTTTTAATACAGAGATTTGAGGTATAGAAAACATTATTATTTCTCTTTTCATTGTTTTATTGCTTTTTAATTATCTTTAAACTGTTCAAAACTGTAATACAAATAGCATACATCATTTTGTGCTGTATTATGTATTTTGGGGTACACATCAAAATAAAACTGATAGTGCCATGTATAAAAATAGCAATGTATAAAAGGTGGAGTTTTATTTCATGTTTCTTTGTTTAAATTCAGGCCAGCAAGTATATACTCAAATAAAATTTTACAAACACATTATGGGCTTGCATGAAGCACTTAATTAGTTGCGGATAAGGTTCATGTGTATCTGTTTAGCCCTTCCTCTCATAAGAACAAATTAAACAGATTAAGGCCTTCTTCCATAACTGTATTAATGATGAAGTTATTCTTAGTTTAAGAGTTCTACATTTTTAAATGTAGGTAATAAATAATTACCTATAAAACTAGAAATGAATCCTTAGTTTAAAAACTAAATATTAGACAAATTTCCCAAAGATATATTGAGACTGATTTGGCTCATGATGTCTTAAGTCTTACGATTAATTATATCAGCTGGTTTTTCAGCTAATATGTACCACAGTGGCAACAATATTCAAAATGAAATAGGCTGGAAACACTCAGACACAGTCATGCAAAGCTAAAATGCATCACATTCTTCTATCATTAGGATTTACGTTGTAGTGATTGGGTTTAATAAGAAAAGATTTTGCAAAAATAGTGAGACAGTTTTGACAAGTTCCCTAACTCAAGGGTGGCTGAAGTTATTATAAATCTGACAGTTACAATGTACTTAGAAAAATGTTGTCACATCACCTATTAATAAAAAATAACATAACTGGAATAAAGCACATACCCGATTTTATCATTAAACTATGAAAAAACATTAACTGATTCAATCACTTCCCTCAAAGGGAATACTGGCTCCTTTATGACTCAACTCTGTGGGGCGGGGGGAGGAACTTTACTAATTTGTTAAATCTAGATCGATTTGCTTGAAGAGTATCTTGAGAAGGCAAAATGATTAAAAACATTAGTTTGCCACCACTTATCTGTATGAACCAGAACTTTCTATCCACAATGCAATAAAAATAAAGTAGATGTTGAGGCTGATATAAAACAGCAATTTTTAAACATAACTGCTCATTTAAATTTTCCACTATACACTAGAACACCACGAATGACTTAATTTGAAAAATGTGGCATGTTTGAAATTACAGATAAAAGTGCACTAATATAATGTTACTTTTGTTCCTATTTATGACATAGCTTAGTTAGCTCTTGCAGTTTAATTTCCCACCAGGCAGACTTCTTTCCTTCACTAATAGCAAAAGCTATGCATTCCTGGGTTATACACAATTTGATGCCTTTAGATATACTCCTTTCTCTGCCAGAAATGCTCTTCTCTCACTTTTCAAAAATTATTTTACTTTCAACATCCAGAATATTGCTTCTCAGATTCAAAACAGAATTAATCACTTTCTCTTCTATATTCCATATTGTACTTATCACACATTTATCAATTAGATAAACTATCTCCCTAAATCCCTTGAATGTAGGATCCAAGATACATTCATTCTTGGATCCTTTCTGCCCCCTATTCTTAATACAGATCCTAAAGTTAGAATCAATGTACAAGTAAATAGTAAATACAGGGACAGGCATTTGGCACAGCAATTAAAAACAGCTTGGGACACCCATTCACCATATTGGATTGCTTGGGTTGAAGTCACACATCCATTTCCAATTCCAGCTTCCTACTAATGCTCACCATGGGAGGAAGCGATGACAACTCAAGTAGTTGGGTCCCTGCCACTCACTTAAGAGATCTGAAATCAGTTTCAGGAGCCCGGCTTTGACTTGGCCCAGCCTCAGTTACTGCAGAACCTTGGGAAGTGAACCAGGGAATGGAAGATTCTCTCTCCCTTTCTCCTGCCTTCCCTCCCCCTCCCCCTCCCCCTCTCTCCTCCTCTCTCTCCCTCCCGCCGCCCTCTCACCCTCCCTCTCCCTCACTGCATTTCAAACAAACAAAAATAAATACAAATTTTAAAAAACTGTAAAAAGAACAAAAGGAAATGGTGAGACTCTTAACTGGTTAATAAGGTTAGTACCTATAAAGTAATCATTGAACAAGAATAAATTTGTAATGTACTCAAGCACTACTTAAAAGTGTGGCCCATGGGGGGCCTGCGCCACGGCTCACTTGGTTAATCCTCCACCTGCGGCACTGGCACCTGATATGGGCACTGGGTTCTAGTCCCAGTTGCCCCTCTTCCAGTCCAGCTCTCTGCTGTGGCCCAGGAGGGCAGTGGAGGATGGCCCAGGTGCTTGGGCTCCTGCACCCAAGTGGGAGACCAGGAGGAGGCACCTGGCTCCTGGCTTCGGATCGGCCGTAGCAGCCATTTGGGGGGTGACCCAACGGAAGAAAGACCTTTTTCTCTCTCTCTGTCTATAACTCTACCTGTCAAAAAAATAAATAATTAAAAAATTTTTTTAAAAAAAGTGTGGTCCATGGACATTTGTTCAGCTAGTGGTTAAGCCATTGGTTAGGCTGCCTACATCACCTATCAGAGTACCTGGTTTAAATACCCAGTACTAGGACCTGATTACAGTTTCCTGATAACTCAGACCCAGGGTGGCAGCAGTGATGGCTCAAGCAATTGGGTTGCTGTCACCCACATGGGAGATCTGAATTGAGTTCCCAACTCCCGATTTGGCAAACTTTTAATATCTAATGAAAGGGCCAGATGGTAAGTATTGTACAGTTTGTGAGCTATGCACTCCGTCACAGCAACTCAATTCTGTTGCCATAGCAAGAGAACCATAGACAATAAATAAACAAATGGGCATGGCTGTGTTCCAATAAAATTTTACTTACAAAAAAGTAGGCAGCGTGTTTGCAGATTTGGCCCAACTACCATAATTTGCTGATCCCTGTTCTAAATTATAGACAAAACCCAAAAAGCAGTCACTAAGAACCCATCTATCACATAGTACATGAGCCAAAACTATGATTGCTGTTGGCATTATTCACCAATTTTTTATATTTTAAAGACTGAAAAATTTACCAACATTCAGGCTCATGGAAGATGTGACCCCATTTTTAAGAAAATCAAACTTTACTGAAAAATCTTTTGTATCTTTCCAATATATGTCTAAGAAAGCTTCAAGGTTTCATAATATCAGTAGATAGTAATATCCCCACAGGTTATAGAAACAAAAAATAGATAAATTTATTTACACTATTTGCCACAATCATTATAACAAATAGTATACACTCAATATTCCCACAGAGCATCCCCTTTTAAATAAATCACAACCTGGCTAAAGTCATAACAAAACTGACTGAAATTCCAAGTACAAAGCTCTTTATTCAAATCACATTATTTAAACAACTTAAAAATATAGCACTTTTGTTTACATTTTTAACAAACCTGGATTGTAGATCTTTGGGTTTAAAGTTGGCCTTCTCCAAAACACTACTTTGTTTCAAGGGGTGAGATACACAGCTCACTAGAGTTCACTCTAAAATTGGAGCCAAATTCTGACCTTCTTGTGTTCACTTCAGTTCTAGTCTCTCTTTTGAAATATACGTATCTATATGTAGCCATAAGGAACTCTTCTCCCCATTCTAGAACTCTTTTCCCCAGAGCATAAGAAAAAACGCTCAATGATTCTAAGTTTCCAATGCATCCCTCATTAGATTCCAAAAGTCTTGCATGTTTTCACATTATACTAATCTCCTTAAAATGTCCCCTAAGATTCCAACACTATTATAGATTATTGAAAGATCTCTTTTTCATAATATTCTCTAAAGTACCAAATGGTCAGTTTTAAGTGTAATAATTCTCCAAGTATTATCATTAGATTATAAGTAGCTTTTGAGAAGTGGGAATAGAGTCTAAAAGGAATTTAAGAGTCTTCTCTTGTGAGTAGTCACACAGAAATAATGAGAAAGTAATATATAATATTTTTCCAGTGATACAGTATCTATGAGAGATAGAAGTGTTCCTGAAAAGGGGATTAGGACATACTTAGGTATCCACTGAAACTTAAAATTTTATGTATTAAAAATTGATGTCATCATGATCTCTAAATATTTTTTCCTTTCTCTTATTTTCCTTTCCTGCCAATGATTCATCATGTTTTCCAGGCAAAATCTTAAAGTTATTCATGCTCATATCCCATTTTGTCTAAAAATTCAATCATGAATTCTTACTAATTATTTCTTCATTTAGTTTATATAATTACTACTATCCTACATGTAGATAATATGCTGAAATTTCCTATTCTTCCTGCCTAGGTTTTCCCATTCTACATATTTCAGCCAAAAATCTTCTTCAAACATTTGATTGTACTTTTCAAATGTTATGTAAATAAAATATAGCCTGCTTCAATAATAGTCTAATAGCTAATAGTAACAGTATTTCAAACAGTTAAAGAATAAAATATATGTTTTAGAGTAATAAAAATAGAATTATTTAATAATAAAGAAGAAAGTAGAAAAGAAAACTAAGCCCAAGAAAGAGGAACATTTTGCAGGGGAAAACTTAAATTATGCATCAACTAAGGGCAGAGAGGAAACCCAGAAACAAGGTGGCTTATGCTTTCTGCAAGAATGATGCAGTTCCTGTTATCTGTACTAAAGCCCAGTACAAAACATAAAAGTCATCAGGAAAATATAAAGTAGTAGAAAAACCAAGTCTGAGACTAAATGAGAAAGAATTCTAAGAAAAGGCAGCCAAGTGAATTGTAAGCTGTCTAAAAGTGTTCTATTGAGAAAGAATTTCTAAGTGGCCTACAGAGGCAACAACGCAAGTTGCCAGTGTCACTACTTCTGACACATCAGTAACTCGACCACTGGAGGGAGTCTGATCACATATCCTTTGAGGTGACTTTTACTCATAACTTCCTGGTCTTCCCTGGAAATGAATTAGAACCCCTACCAAGAATATGAATTGGTTCAACAAAATCTTATGGTTTTCAAGGTTCTTATTTCTTTTAGTTTTTCTTTTGTTTGATACTCACTAATAAGAATTTACAGCATCTCTACAGTCACATCTGGGTCAAAGAAATGAATCCAGAGGTCACATGTCATTGCACAGATCTAGCCTAAGGGAAAAATGTCATAAAGATATTGTAAGACAAGAACAGAACAGGGCTCTCATACAAATACCTATGTGAAGTAGGTATCAAGGTCACAATTCACATGAAGAACAGCAAACAGCAGATCTGAACTGCAAGCTGAAAACAGCTTTTAGGATAAGGCTAGCATGAAAGGGATGGTAAAATAGAAGGGATAACTGTACTATAACTGTGATTTTTAAGTTTCGTGCTCATTTAAAATTCAAAATTTACAGTTTCCATTAATCACTCATTAAGAAATCATTTCCTAATTGAAAATACAACTGGAATTATTTAAAAAAAACGAAGATCTACATATTCACAAAAAAGAAAATTAAAAACTACTTTAACTCAAGATCTAAAATGGTGTTAATACTATGTTATACCATATGTCAGTAAGACTGAGGAAAGACTACCTGACATTCTTATAATAAAAACATTAAAGGTAACAGTTGTGAGTATTCTTTCTAGATGCTTGCTCACTTCAGAAAATGTTATTAAGGATTATTTTATTACTGTGTTATATTACCAAACATTATGGCAGTACTTTATACTTTCCAAAGTTCAAAACTGTCTTATTAACACGTAAATGAGCATAATCAGGTCTCAACTGATTCATAATTTAAATATACCAAAGTCCAAACACAAACAATCTTTTAAAATATGTACATAGACAAGAAAATCTATCAGCTTTTGTGTGTGTAGTTTTCATTAAAAAGCGTTCCTTTGTTGACTAGCATTATAAACTCCATTAACCGTATTCAGGACGTAAAACTTAAATACATCTGTATCTATATTTGTGTATACAAGCATACTTCAAAAAGTTCATAGAAAATGAAATTAAAATATTATCCTGGTTTAAAAATTATTGTAATTCATGCAGTTTTTCCATAAAACATATTTTCTGTGAACTTTATGACCCTGTATATATATATGTACATGTATAATACATATACATATATGTGTGTGTGCTCATATTTGCATAATAAAAACACAAAGAAAAGCAGAAGTAATACAGGCTTCTGTGGGTAGGCTGCGCAGCTATTTTGTTGTCACAGGTCAATGAGGGTCTAAAATAACTACTTGGAGAAATAAACTGGAAGTAGGTTCTCACATATTAAGGCTTCCAGGTGAAAAATTGTTTTCCATCTTCAGTTTTTTTTTTAAAGTCAAAATGCAAGTAAATCATGTTTTCAACTTGAGCAGAGATTAACAGAAACACTCTTCTGTTTGCTATCATAACTAGCAGAAAGCATTGGAACTACCATACAACTCCAGAAGGTTTCCTGATAGAAGTCCACCCAGAATCCTCATTTTGTGCTACAGCAATTAACATCTGAACAGGGACCATGTACAAACAACTAAAGTGCACATGCTATTCATTAGGTAATGTGTATGTGTGTCTAAGAGCCCTCTTGCTTAATTAAAAATCCAATTATATGACCACTTGAACTCTATCTCATATTCTTCTGAGACTACTAAATATTTTGAGAAACTATTAAAAGAGAAACATTGTGAATGGATGCTAATAATGTAGTAAACATCAATTTAAATGAAAGCAAGCAATCAATAGAGAAAATTATAAATAAGAGAGAAGAAAACAGACATTTATGATCGCCAGCAGCTATGGATCTTAGTTGATACAATATGCGGAACGTCATAAAATTAAAAACATTTGTGAGTGGACAGGTAAAGGAAATATATATTGGTAATTATATTTATGCTAATTTACTCCACCATCAAGGAATTACTGTTTTCATTACTAAGTTAATAGGGTGAAATAAAGTATGAAAAGTAAACAGCAAGCAAAACAAATGCATTCCTAGGATAAGAAAATTATGAAAATATAGTTCTTATTATGTGCTTACATATAAGACAGATCTTCTGCCACATACTTGCCTTTCTATACTATATATTTATACAAGTAAAATAATGAGACCTGAGAGGGGGAAAAAGTAACAGAAACTGAAGGAGAAAACAATATCTAACTGAAAATTTCTCAGTATAAAATGATGCCAAATAAACTCTGGTCTACAAACTTAATGTAACACTGGGTAAACTGTGATATAAAAACAACTGTACTATCCCTACCTAATGTATTCCTGTGATGCCAACTTAATATTTATGTAATTGACACATAAGCTAAGATCACACACAAAAATGTTAAGTGTTTAAAAGATATACCCCCCATGTAGTGAAGTTGTTAAAGGAAGACTTTGCTCTTTGTATACACTGGTAAAAGCTATTTTACAAGTTAGAGTTCTATTCAATTAGTCTATATTAAATCAATTAGAAGTCTGAAAATAGTAATTTTCATATACTATTTAGTGCCAGTACCCCTCAAATTAAATGTCACATAATTTGCTTATTTTGCAAGATTTATAAAATAAACAACTACAAAAATTGCCAGGATAGCTCCTACTCTAGGAGAACACAATAAATGTAGCATTAATTTTTGTACTCATATTATTAATTCTGTAAACTTAAAAACAAACCTTTATTTCTGCTAGTATTTTTGAAACAAGGAACAACAATGAACTGCCTATTTCTAATTAGTGTAAGAGGAGCATCTGATAAATCACTGAAGTAAAAATAAAATCTACTTTTATTAGATTCTTAAGTTTTCTCTTGAACCCATCTAACAAAATAAAAACATAGGTATTTTACAATGGTAACATCACAAAAAGCTATTTCGTGAAAGAATAAACTAAAATCAAAATGTCCTCTTATGTGGTATATTACAAATAATCTTTATAGTCTAATCAGTCAAGCTTTGTAACAGAATGAAAAATTGTTTTAGATGACATAAATTTGTGCACTTACTACTATGGTGATCAAAATGGTCTAAGAATAAAGAAAATATAAAGAGCCTTTTCAAGAAATTATTTAAAGTGGCTTTGATTTCAGAAAGCTTGAATTTTTGTTTAAAAATTATTACATGTAAATTTATTAATAGCAAATTATTAACAGTAAATTAAAACTGTAATAAAAAGTGTATTATCAATAATCTCAAATTTTGTTCCTTTGAGCTAAATGTACCTACCGCAAAGCCTAACCAAGTTACTAACTACCATTTCAGTGACTTTGGAAGCAAGACCTCTGCTCCCTATTTGGATCACACTGATAATTTGATAAATTTTACAACCTTTCTGTGAGCATTCAATCTCTCCACACACCTCTGGTTGAAAAATACTTGGCAATCATTACCACAATGTACAGTTAAACATTAATTTAACTGACAATCAAATGTGCCCAACGTCCTCTCCAGAACATACAACTTGTTTTTCCTTTGTCAGCGGCAGAATTTTCCAATTGTTTGGCTAATCAATTAATAATCGGCTGACTTGGTCCACATTAACGAAACACCTTTGAGTCTCCAACTAGCCCAACTACCACAGAAGCGCTGTAACTACCTCGGTGCACAGAGCACCAGCTCTGCCTGTAGCGCTCCGAGCTGGGCTCGATCCATCCCCTCCGTCAGAAACTGCCAACTTAATGGAATAAAAGATGGAATGTCAACACACAATGGTGCGGACTCGCCACGTATTCTGAACCACAGCCCCTCTAGCGGGCCGATTCCTTCACAGATTTTGGACAGTCCCTGACTCGCAGCCCAGAACCACAAAGCCTGTGTCTGTCCTTGGTGCTGAAACGCAGTGTTTCTGGCCCCTGGCTGAAAAAAACTGTCATTCTGGTCCCAGTTTGAGAGGATTCAAAGGACTTCAAACGCGAGCCGTCTAAGGATGGGCGGTTTAAAGAAGGGAAGCGAGGGCTAAGTTTCTAGGCGGAGAACGCTAACTAGCGAACGCGTGCGGCAGCGGTGGGTGCTGGAAGCATCCAGAGGGCATGTCCCGGTCGGCGCCAGGGGACCCAGGAAATCCAGACTGCGGCAAAGCCGGGAAGCGCCGGGTCCGGGCAGGCGCGGCGGCCAGGAACCCGCGCTCGCCGGGGCCGCACGGGCGAGGGCGGCCAGGGCGCCGGGCCGTGGACCGCGGCCGCTTCCCGCACCGCAGCGCAAGCCCCGGGGTCCTTTTGTTTCTGGGGTGATGGGGGTGGGGGCCGGTGGGGAGCCCGCACCTGCATTTATTCGCACAGCGGGGGGACAACAAAAGACCCTGCGGGCCGGGGCAGGGGCAGGGGCAGGGGCAGGGGCCGGGGCCAGGCCGGGCAGCGGGGTCGGAGCGGCCGCGACGCCCCAGCCCGGGCGGGCTCGGACCCTCTCCTCAAGGTCCCGACCGCTCTTACCGTCCCGGTCGCACAGCTGAATGGCCTCCAGGCTGAGGTTTTTGATCACCTCCTCACAGGGGCTGGTGGGGCTGTTGAGGGCATGTTCCAGGCGCGGCACCTCCATTTTTCCAACCCCCTTCTCAAGCCCGCCTGCTTCGTATCCAGGCTCTCTCGCCGGGCCGGGTGAGCAGGAAGGGCGGGAAAGGAGGGGGGAGTGGCGGAGGGACGAGCGAAGGCCTGGGACGCGGCACTGAGGCGCCGAGTCCGAGCAGCCCGGCTGGAGAGCCACGGCCCAGGCGACAGCCGTGGCGGGAGCTCCGGGGAGTGTGCGGCTGGCTCTCCGAGACCGAGCGGGACCCGGCGCGAGGGCGGGAGGTGCGCGCTCCCGGCGGCGCGCGAGGAACGTGAGGGAGACAGCGCGACACGCGCACGCGCGCGCGTGTGTGTGTGTGTGTGTGTGTGTGCGCCAGGACGCGCCCCCTGCCGGAGCGCGGCGCCCCGCCCCCACCCTCTGGAGCGCACGCGCCCCCGGCTGCCCTTGCGCCGCGGTCCCCACCGCCTGGCGCGTGAGGCGTCGGACGAGACGGCGCGAGGGAACCTGCGCGCCGCGCCACGCGCCGCCGCGCTGTCTGCTGTCCGGGGCGGTTTGGCGTTCCCCTCTCCTCATGGGGTCAGGCGGAGCCCGAGTTGTCACTGAGGCTTCTGCACAGGGAGGCGAGGGCGAGCAGGTTGGTTGTTGATGAAGCATGGGGAAAATAAGGGCCCAGCCCCTTTGTATCGGGGTTTGGGTCCTGCAGGCCGCCTTCCCCACTCGCGATCCTGAGCTCCTCGCTGCCGGCACCGTGCTGGCTCAGACCCAGTCCACGCACGATCTGCCTTGGGGGTGAAGGAGGAGCACTGGGGTTCGGCCACCCCAAAACAGGGTCAAACCTGGGCACTCCCGACTGCCGCGAAAGCGAGAGGAGTGGAAGATGCCAGCTAACCTGCGTGGGCCCACACCACCTGTCGGCCTGCCTTCGCAGCCTAGCTTCCTGCGTTCGTTCATTCAGCAACTGAGTAGTAAATACTCTGCCAGCCGTTGCTCCTGACCTCAAGGAGGAGGGGAAAGGCAGCATCTGTCTGGCTGTGGAAGGGACCTTTGCTATGCTGGGAGGATGAAGACTGACTTGTGCCCTCCTCAAGTTACCGTAAACTCACAGGCCCATTGCTTCTGCAGGGCACCTAGCACATGTGCAGATGCTGTTAAAATGAGATGAGTATAGGTCACAGCCTACTGACCGCTGATCCCATTCATTTTGAAATAGTTTTTAGTTTTGTTGCTATGTCAGGATCAAAAACAATGCCCCTTTTTATAGTGTGTGCTTGTTAGCAATTAATTTGTTCCTTTTATTGATTTTGTAATTTCATAAATGAATGTTAACCAATAAAGTAACAATTTCCATATAGATTGCTATATGCTACCCTTTCTAGTCACATCCATTTAGTTGTAACATGACTAAATATTAACTCATTGAAAGCTCATAAAATGGAGGAGTCAGCTTAACAGGGGAAAAAACCTGGAGAAAAAAACATAGCACAACTGCAGGTTGATTAAAAAAAATCTGTGAAAGATAATTGAGTATCTTAAAGTGAAACATCCTCATTATGAACTTAGATGTTAATGAAGATGGATTTCCTTTTTATGAAGTTTGAAAGAACTCTTGTGTTAAGGTAGAGGTGTCCCCAAAGAGAAGGCAAATTATTACCTGTCAAGAGATGGGAAAAGATAGTACTTACTGGTGAATTTCTTGTGTTGAATGCCTAGCTCTGTGTAACTGGAAATTGATATTGTCAACTTCAGTGCGTTCACTTTCAGAGTAGTCTCAGATTTACAAAGCTCAAATAGAACTGTGTAAGTTAGAATAGCAGTTTATTGGTTGACAAATGAGAAGCATAATATGCATAAAATTAAAATTATAACTGATACAAATATTTATTAAGCACTTACTATGTCCAAGACGATACGTTTGCTAGATGTTGGAAATTTGGAGCTCAAATCCATTAAGAAAAAGAAAATTAACAGTATGAACGGTTCATCTCTTGATTTTCTCATATCCTGTGTTTGAGTGCCTGGGTTTGAGTCTCTGCTCTGCTTCTAATCCAGCTTCCTGCTGCTGTGTACCCTGGGAGGCAGCAGATGATGGCTCAAGTAGTTGGGTTCCTGCCACCCATGAAGGAGACTTGGATGGGGAATTTCAGACTCCTGACTTTGGCCTATTGCAGCCCCGACTGTTGGAAGGATTTGTAGAATGAACCAGTAGATGGTGGATCTCTCTCTGTCTCTGTCTCTCTCTCTCTCTCTCTCTTTCCCTCCTTGTTCTGCCTTTGAAATGAACAACAATCAAACACTTAAAATGATGAATGTTAAGAAAGAGGAATTATGGGAGAGTGTAGAAGCATACACAGAGTCATTGGATTGTTAGGAAACCTCTAAAATGATTTTATCTTAATGGAATAAAAAATTATTAATAAGCTTTAAATGAAGAATTAGCATAACCAGATTTATAGGCAAGGATACTTGTGTAATTGGAAAAGGTATTATTTTGAGAAATATTAACGTGGTTTTCTGGGTATAAGATCTATTTGATCCAAGGGACCTTTCTGCTAGGAATTTGGATTATTATATAAGAAATACAAAAGAAAGATGGAATATTTTGTTTTTGATATCCAATATAGGATTAATTTTTTTTTTTTTTTTTTACAGGCAGAGTTAGACAGTGAGAGAGAGAGACAGAGAGAAAGATCTTCCTTCTGTTGGCTCACCCCCGAAGTGGCCGCTACGGCCGTTGCATTGCGGCCAGCGCACCGCACCGATCCAAAGCCAGGAGCCAGGTGCTTCCTCCTGATATCCCATGCGGGTGCAGGGCCCAAGCACTTGGGCCATCCTCCACTGCACTACCGGGCCACAGCAGAGAGCTAGACTGGAAGAGGAGCAACCGGGACTAGTACCCGGTGCCCCAACCGGGACTAGAACTCAGGGTGCCGGCGCCACAGGCAGAGGATTAGCCTAGTGAGCCGCGGTGCCGGCCTCGGATTAATTTTTAAAACTACTTATTTGAGGAGCAGATAGAGAAAGCTCCAATCCACTGGTTCTCTCCAATGCCCACAACATCCAGGTTTGGAAAGAGGCTGGAGGACAGACGGAGAACTCAGTCCAGGTCTCCTGTGTGTGTAGCAGGAGCCCAGTGACTTGAGCTATCACCACTGCCTCCCAGGGTCTGCATTAGCAGGAAACTGGGTTGAGGAACCAGAGAAAGATATAAAACACAGTATTCCATTATGGGACATGGTTGTCTTAAGGGCTAGGCCAAACATCCACCCTTGATACAACATTTTTAAAGTAAGTTTCTTGGTTTCAATTCAAGGCATTGTCAAAAGATAAAATCTAAATTTGTTTAATATATCTTTGCCCAATAGACCTCATGATAGTTTGAAAAAGTAGAAGAGCTACAGATCAGGGAAAACATGGTATTTGTCCTTTTAGTACTGGATTGCTCTTGTCTAAACTATTGAGAAACAGTTTTTTTTTTTTTTCTTCATACTATTTGTTGAATTCTTTACTTAGTGCAAGGTTAATCTTATGAGTATTAAGTAAACTGAAAACAGGTCTTTGTAAAAATTAAGAATGGTAAAAAAAAAAATTAAGAATGGGAATGGAAAGGGAGGAGGAGGAAGGGTAGGGATGTGGGTGGGAAGCAAGGTAGGGTGGGAAGTATCACTATGTTCCTGAATCTCTATGTAGGAAATAAATGAAATTTGTATACCTTAAACAAAATTTTTTAAAAAGGTAGAAGAGCTAGAGGAAGGATACCAAAAACATTTTACTCACTGTTACCATAAGGATGTAGGATGAGGGGTTGTGGGAAAATTCATGGAAAGTAAAGTTTGTGCTCTGATACTGGAATCTGGGAGGCTATATCATGGTCAGGCTCAGCAGGAACCACATTCAAGGAACCTTGGATCAGGGCATCATATTCTGCACAGGGGGAGTAGGAGTTTACTTTGAAGCACTTTGTACTTAGAAGGTAGCTGAGTTAAGAGGTAGGGGGTTTTCCATGAATCCCAATTTAAAAGAGCAAGATGATCCTTTAGCAAGACTTTGGGATTTGGCCTTCTAGATCAGAGATGTCTAAAGTAACAAAGAGATGAGATTCATCAGTCAGGTCCCTAACCAGACTGAGAGTGCAGAGTATGAGTTTCTCTATCCATCAACTTCAAATGAAAGCTCAGGAGCAACCGGGTGTGCAAGGATGTCACCACAGAGGCAAAAGGAAGCAGAAGGCACCACTTAAATCCAATGATCCTTTTCCCCAATGCCTCAGGGGAATGCAAGTCCCTCTCCCCTGATATTCTCAGATACCATGTGAAATGAGATGTAGGAGAAAGCTGGACATCTTAGAGACCAAAGACTTTTAACCTAACAAAGCTGAACTTTACCTAATGGAATGATTAAAGTTCTGATTGAAAACAGGTTCCTGGATTAAACCAAAAACATACTAAAAGTATTCCTGTGCCTCTGTGAATGAGACTTCATAAAGATCAAAACAGTTTTTGATAAAATGAAAATTCTACCTTTTCATACAGAAGTTATAATGTGAATAATTAGAAGCTACAAATACTTGACTCACCTAGTTGTTAGCTGAGTTGTCTACTATTAGAGTCAAAATCCTGTCAATTATTCAAGCCCCTGCCGAATGGTATATTATAAATGATTAAGGAATCATAATATAATATAATATAATATAATATAATATAATATAATATAATATAATATAATGGTTTTTCCAAAAACCATTGCATTTCCATGGGACTTTACTCCTATAGATAATTACATTATGATTTAGAAATTAGTATACAGAAAAATCAAGTTTAAATTTGAGAAGGATCTTAATACCTATCTGAAATTGAAGCCCTTGAAGAGAAATTCTCTTCTAATAAATAGTAAATTAAAATCTTCATGAAATACTCTAAAGTCTTCCTCATTCCAAGCCTATACACGCATCGTATAAGCTCATTACAAAGACTTCAATTTTCCCCTCTGTTAGTTGTACACAATAATCCTTTTGCCTATATATATTCAAATCTCTGGCTAAATAATTGTAATTCTTTTGAAATGTTTCTGATGTCAACTTGTTTTGAGTCTATCAATCTTGACACCCACTTCTAGATATTTCCATTTTTTTTAAGATTCCGTAAGTAAATATGCCAGGTGTGAAAATGTAACAACAATATCAAAGAAAACATAGTTTGCCATCACCATCTTTGTTCTATATGCTAGACATTTTGTAAAGCAACTCAGGAGCACATTAGCTTTTCTGAGAGATCACAGCCTGCTCACACATCCAGGGGTTGTAAACACATAAAAAACTACACCTCTTTCCTGAACATTTCTTATTTTTCTTATAATATTGTAAATTTTGAGCACATATTTGAGTATCTGCATAGAGAAGGTACTTGGTACAATTTACTGAATTATTTGAACTTCTGTACTTTGAATGTGCACTCAGTGATACCGCTGCAAGAAGCCTAGGGTTTCATCAAAGCCAAAGGAAAGCTCAACAAAGTCCTTTTACTCGGCTTGTGTAAAGGTCTATCTTATATGATCCATAGCCTCAGGTATAACCCATGTTTTTTTTATCTAGGCAGAGGCTAAAGAGGACCAGAATTACAGGTAGAAACAAACTCCACA